TAGAGTAGATGTCTAATTCGAGTTCGAATATAAATGAAAAAAAAAACGGTTTCCATATTCAATAGCAAAAGATAAATTTTATATAAATTATAACTTCAATGGCAGACCCATACTAATGCAGCAAGGAAAACCGAAACATATAGACTGATGTGCATTGGAAATATAATTCGAATGGAAACTACTCTGATCACTATGTACACAGAGATGAGGATGGGTCGTGGTTCTTCGGGAGGCACTACGCACTCCCACGCCGCAACACTGAGAAAGAGATGTGTTATGCGGGCAAAAGATGTTTTCGTCAGTTCAATACTCCAATGTAAGCGGTGTTGTGTTGGCATCACTTGAAATGTGTGCTTTATTTGTTGCTTTAGAAGAGTATATGTTTTTCAAATAAAAAATCTCCTTTACTATTTGAATAGGGAAGCCTTTTTTTATTTATTTATTTGCGGAGTGATGATTGGCAGTGAGATGTTCATTTATATTCGAACTCGACTTAGGCAATTCATGAAGTACTAAATTAAATCAGCTAGTTATCTGTAGAACTCCATACTATATTCAAGAGAAGACATATAGATAGATTAGTCAATAATCGGATCAGATTTAGCAAACATTTCAAACCATAGATGGAATCGGTCTAGTTTTTTGACGACGAGTACCGGTCTGGACAAGTCAGACCGGATCAGCCGATAGATCGGTATCGGTCGTCAAAAAACTAGACCGGTTCCATCTATGGCAAGGAATTTTCAACTACACAAGGCAAACTTTTGTGAATAGTAGGGATCAGTACTTTTTGCGAATTTCAATAATGATCACTGACTGTTCTTAAATAAATCTATATCTGAACCATTATAAAATTACTAAAGCAAATTTTAGAAGTATCAAATTTTTAATAAGATAACAGAATCATCGTTTGTCAATTCTAGCAGAATAATAGATATAATGAGTAGCGAACAAATCTTTTTGTTTTCTACAAGATGTCTGAAAAAGTCTGTCCGGAGAGTTTATGTGAATATCTTTTTGATTTTTTAAAGATATGCTCAACATGATTATCATCAACTGAAATACATAAATCCATCATTTTTGAAATCTTAATATTGGTATTGATATGATATAATTTCAACGGGATCTTCTGAATCTTCAGCATGAAGTTGTTGAACAAATTACATCTTGTACGGTTTCAATGGAACAATGTTCAGTCATAATTCGGTCTACTGTTGTTACTGAACGGGCGATTCGAGATAAATAGCCGTTAGTGACTTGTCTAAGATCATTCTATGGTTTGTGGTACTGCAGTTTGCACACAGTACCTTGTGGATACTTGTCAAACACTGTGGCCATTCAGTCATGACGACAATTATAACTGATTATCAACTATTTTTATGGACACTAGTGACATCTCTGAAACATATATACATATATAAAATCATTTTATATTGGTTGAATCTGACTATTCCACAAATCATATCATTATCTAGCTCTTCACTTTCCAACAAATCGATTTTTATTGAACTTTTTATTTTTTTAGTTTTTAGTATTTTAATTATTAAAAGTACAAAAAAAAAAGAAAACAACAATGGTTAAGACAAAAACTAAATCTAAAAAACGTCGTACATATACTACTGATAAACATAATTCAAAAACACGTATTGACACAATAAATAAAGTCAATCCATTTGATTTACATGTTAACCGTTTAAAACATGATGTACTTGGTAAACGACGTAATTATGAAAAAGGTGGTCAACCACTTAAATCACGTTCACGTGGAATTGAAAAAGTAATTTTTATTTTATGAATTCATACATATGTTGTTTTTTTTTTCGTTTTAATTTCATAGAGAAAACGTACATTATTAAAAGAATTAAATTCTGTATTTAAACAAAATACATTTATTGATCATCGTCTTGGTGAAAATGATCCAACATTAACAAATGATGAAAAATTTATGCAACGTTTAATTGCTGAACGAACTGTTCGTTATTTTTTTTATGAAAGAAAAAAAACTTTTATTTTTTTTTTGCTTATAGAAAACTCGTCCTGGTAAAGAAAGTCGTTATAATTTAAATGATGAAGAAGATTTAACACATTATGGTCAATCATTATCAAAATCTGATGAACTTAATCAAAAACCAATTATTGATGAATATGATGATGATGATGATAATAATTTAAATAAAGGTCGTTTAAATTCTGAACATTTTTTTGGTGGTTTTAAATCTTCAAATGATCAACATAAACCACAAACAAAACAAGAATGGATTGATAATATGATAAAAAGTACAAAATTAGATAAATATGAACGTCAACGTGAAAATGAAAAACTTTATGATATGACACAAACACTTGATGAACAATGGAAAGCATTAAGTACATTAATGGGTATTAAAGAAAAAAAG